TTTGCCCCAAGGTTTTCCCACTGAGTCACAATCAAAACCCGGGTAGATGAAGTTTAATAAGGGACGATCCCAACCAGAAATAGCAGCGGCCTCCTTCTAAATTCTTTAAATGGTTCTGGGTAGGCCAGTTTAATACCGGGTTTTGATTGTGACTCACTTGACCACCTAGCCAACGAGCAACGTGCAAATGGGAGATGTCCAAAGACCGGCCGGCCGCATGAACTTCGGGTTTTGGGATGCTTGACTGAGCACCATTGCCAAATGGCGTATATGGCTGTGGGTCAAAACAAACCATTTTGGGGTAGGTGCACCACCCATTTTAGTCTTTTTTAGTGGGGATTGGGATGTTCACTGGGGGTACGGGATTTTGACCCATCCCAAAATGATTGCAACATCGAATGCATGGACTGTTCGGTGTGGCTGGCACGCGCGACATGTCTGGCGCACAACAGGACACTTGTTCTGAGGTGTGTGTGTGTGTGTGTGTGTGCGCGTGCGACGTTTCTTTCTAGTGTACATGCATTGAAACTGGATAAGTAGTGAGTTTGATTTGGGAGAAGAGGATGGACGATGTGGAACGCAACTTTTGACTTGAGACCTGGCATATTGGCATCGCATGGCGCACTGTTTGCGATTGCCGAGCAGCAGTTCATCCGAGTTACTGGGACACCCCCCCCCCCCGAAATCGGTCTTCCTTTTGGTTTCCCTTCAACACCATCACAGAAGGGTGGCTTCAAACAAAAACACGGCCATTTCAGCATGAGCAACCAGAAAGGGCCTCCTTTCCGCAGGGGTTCGGTCAACAAACATGGAACCCTACGATGGGTAGTTTCCCTGGGGGTGTCTCTTCACCCCAAAGGGCACCCTCAAACACACCAGTTTGGGGCTAACCCCTCCCACTTGGTGAGTTTGGGCAATTTCATCGCACACCCTTGAAAATAGAAGTGGTGCTGAAACTTGTGGGTTTCTTTTCTCCCTCCAAGGTATGAGTTGCTTGAAGACTTGAGAAGTCCTCTTGTTGAACCTTTGCAACAGGATGCTGATGCTGGTACAAACTTGTGGTTGCCTTTTGCATTTGGGCATCTGAAAAGCAAGCAAAAGCGCTTCTGTAGGGCGTGGAAGAGCCGTTGGCTTGCCTAAAGTGACCCTTTCACGTTCCCTTTAGGACCATGTTTTTTCTTCGGTAGGCACATATTTAGAATCTGCGGGGGCGGAAGGCCCGGCCCTCCTGCAGAAAGAGAGATGCAAACAAAGCGATCAACGAGCTCTTCGAAGAAATTTGGGATCTACTGGCGCCTCGCATTCTTCGGTCCGAGGAACATCGGCGGGGTCTGCGATGACGTGGCAAATGACAAGCGGCGGCACCTCGAGTGGTTCGGCATCAGCGGTCAGTACGACTCCTTCGGGAGCGCCGGAGGGAGGGGGATCAAGTGGGCTAGAACCCAGGCTTGGTTTTAACCATGGTAAGTGGGTTGTAACCAGGCTTCCATAGGTGTCCTTTTTGGTTGTTTTGGTCGAAAAATAGATGGGTTCCCCTGGTTTACCTGATGGTTTACCAGGGCCATCTATTTCCCCTAGAAGGACGCCTATGAGGCTTACGAACCACTTACGAAGTGCCCGAGCGCCCCTTCAAGTCGGAGTTTTGTGGCGAATGACCCAAGAAAACCTCTTGGATTCTTGAAAGAGGGACCCAGTCAATCCCAGCCAAGCCCATATACAAAGGAATGGAGTCACTTGAGACTTGTAATGGTGGCCATGCGGCGTCAGAAAACGATGCTTTAGTATCACCGCAAACAAACATCCCTGCAATTCAAGCACCTGCAAGCACAGCATCATGGTTGTCGCTAGCATCATTTCCATCAGCTGCATCACTGCAATCACCCGCATTTTCTCCAGGCTGCAGTCTCCCGCATCCACGCTGTCACCAGCGCCGAGTCGATTGCCAGCATGAGCAGCGTACATCTGATCACCTGCATCAGCATGGCCAGAATTACAATCACTGGCATCATCACTGCCACAAGTGGCCATTTCATCGCCAGGCTCGTCAGCAATGCCGCACTCGCGGCGTTGCTGAAAGCAGTACTGCCAGTCGTCATTAGCGTCGCTGCGATCGCTGCAGTTATTGGCATGGCAACCGTGCGGAGCATCAAGTTGGCTGTGGGCATTTTGGGGTAGGTGCACCACCCATTTCGGTCGGGATTTTAGTGGGGATTGGGATGTTGGGGTATGGGCTTTTGACCCGTGGCCATGTCGGTGCCGGCATCATCAGCATCGCCGCAGCCACGATTCTCATTGCCGCTCTAAGCAGCGGCACTTTTGCCCGCGCTCGTTCGCTTGAGATTCGCCTGGTTCGTTTTACTTGCCCGAGTTACCCTGAATTGGTGGCTTGGAGTGGTGGTTTGGGGATGTGACCCCCTTCTTTGTAGAGGTTAGATGGGAAACCACTTTTTCACCACCAAACCACCAGTCTCCAGACCACCAAGTAGAGGGAAGCTGCGGCGAGAACGCCAGGACCCATTGCATCGACCCCCGCTTCTTGGGACGTGGCGGCCTCAGGTGAGAGGGTCAACCGATGGCTCGAGCTGGTTGGTAGCTGCCAAGTTGTCCTGGAGCTTTCATTTAGGTGTGGCTCAAAAGACACATTGGCTCCTTGGAAAGTGGAACCAGAGACTGAAACCTGCTGAACCCCTAGTTCTTTCATCTTGAGCCTCGAGCCTTCCGCTCATTTCTGGAGCTTGCCGCTTTCCACTCGCCCACTTTAGCGCTGCAAGAGGAGCCCCGCTGGCTGGGCACGTCTCCGAGTCCCCGCGATGTCGGGCTCAAGCCGAGGCGGTTCCTTGGCATTCTACGGCTTCCGCTTCGAGGCTCTGTCGCCGGGAGCCGATCGTTGAAGTTGGTCGCAGATCGGTGGACCCACCCAAATAGCCATTTTGGGGTGGGTGCACCACCCATTTTAGAGCCGAGATTTTAGTGGGGATGTTCACTGGGGGTACGGCTACGGCCCTTTTGACCCATGGCCAAATGACGCCCAAAGGGTCCCCAATGAAGCTTCATACCAGAAAGGAGATGCTGAAAGTAGTTCCGGGTATCGCAAACACTTCTTGCAAGAAGGAAGGGAGAGTGTGTGTTTTTTCTCCCCTGAGGAGTGAGTGTCAAGCATTCCAGGCCAACCAAGCCAAGATGGAGCTGCCAGCTCTTCCTACCGTTGCGCGGGTAAACTCTCGACTGGGCCCGGATGATTGCAGCGGGACCTTTGCACAAGATGTTATGTGGGTTTGCCTCTTTCAAGGCTCAGCAAGAGGCGGCAGGAGGTGCCCCATTGTGACAAGCTGCTCCAACTTTGCCGCCAGGAAGGGAACTCTGAATGAGAGCAAGATTGCCCCTGGAATCAATCATGGACCTTTGTTGCCAATGGGAGTTGTTTTGTGCCTCAAACAACTCACCAGCACTTCAACCGCCCGCACGTGAGGTGTTTTTTGGTCGGCTAGGCCAGGCACGGAGGCTCCTGTCGCCAGGAAGTTGGCGAAAAGCTAGACGAGCTGGATCTGATGACGGACCCGAGCCGACAGCGCTAGCTTAGCCTCATCTCCTTGGTTTCCTGGTCGTATCTCCTGTACATGACCCACAACTTGGCAGAATAAATTGTCAGATGCGGTCTCGAATTCAGCCCTGTCTCTCTCTCTCTCTCTGCATCTAGACGCCATTGGTCAGTTGCGCCGTTAAGAACCGCTGAAAGTGGCAAAGACAAGAGGGCCATCATAGGTTCAGGTTTGGGACCCTTGACCTGTTTTGGCAGAGGAGCTGTGCCACCTGGCTGGTGTTGCCTCCTTATGCGCGCTTCAAGCTCTTACGATTTGTCACAAGCCAGGGACCAGTGCAAGTGATTCGCTTCGTGCAGGTTTGTATGAAGAATGGGCACACCTGGCGTGCCTTAGTTAAATGTGTTGCCCAAGAGCAAGGGCAATGCCCGACAACCAAGCCGAATGTGAAAGCACAATTCATGATGCAAGATCTCTTCCAAGATGATTTTACTCTCTTTCCAACACTCATTGAAGTGGCCAGGAGGATTTTTGAAGACTACCATGCTCTTGAAAAGGCCCCTTGTCCACTTCCATGATTGGAAAACAGCTAAGATATTCCAAACACTTCAGCACCCATGGCGCCTCATCCACTTCCTTGATCTCGAAAAAAGAAGAAAAAACGGCGAGAACTTCCCAACCAGTTCACAAAAGCCCATTTCGCGGCTCTTCCGGTTGCGAACTCCGGTTGCTTCGTCACAAAATCCCGTGGCCTCCGTGGCCCGCTTAGTCCCACCCCTCCGCGGCTTCCACCCGACAAATCCGATGATTCAGTTCGATCGGCAAGCGAGCAATGCCCGCAAGAGCCTAAGCGAATCTCCGCGGAGCAACGCATACTGTGGATGGACGAAATCCATTTCGCACCAAGAAACCACGGGGAGCCATTGTTTGCCGGAATTTGCAGGGGATGCATCACCCGAGGTTGTTTTTATAGGTGGTGCCTAAGAGGATTTCGCAACCATCCACAGTAGCAGAATGTGAGTTCATATATGCAGGGGAATCATTGGCTCCATTCGCACCACCTAAGAAATCCATGGGGAAGCCCGGAGTTCTCCGCGCGAGAAGGAAATCGGATGTTTCGGCCCGGCGGCGACTTCCGTGACCCTGTTTTTCCATCTGCAGGACCCGGACTTCACTGGCTTCTGCCACCGCCTCATGCCCAGCTGGGTCCAGGCAGCGGGCGCTTGGCGCTCGCGAGAGAGTCAGCGAGAGAGTCCGCGAGAGAGTCAGCGAGAGAGTCAGCGAGTGGGGAGGGGTGGTTTGAGGGGGGTTGGGAGGGGTTGGGAGGGGGCGTCTTTTTTTGGGGGCAAAAGGGGTGCGCAGCTTGGGGATGTGGTGGGCGGATTTTTGGACTAAGGCATTTTTGTTGGGTTGAAAGAAACAGGTCGGATTTGGCCGGATCTTTGGACGAAAACACTTTTT